GGAAGAGGAACTAAACAAAGCTAAAAAGATGTTGCTTCGATATGCCGACATTTTCTCATCAAGCGATGCTGATATAAGGAAGACGGGATTGGTTCGGCACAAAATAAATACAGGAAATGAGTTACCGATTTGTCAGCAACCGAGAAGGCTACTGATGGCACGTGAACAAGAGATGGATGCCATGATTCAGGGAATGGTAAGGAATGGCATTATAGAACCCTCATCTAATCCATGGTGTTCACCTATGATCCTGGTAAAGAAGGATGGCAGCATGCTATCCTTCTTTACCAGCTGTGTGGACTATCGTCGACTGAACAACGTTACAAAGGACAGCTATCCGCTGCCGAGGATCGACAACACATTGGATACGCTGACAGGAATGAAGTGGTTCACTACCCTGGACCTAAAAAGTGGCTACTGGCAGGTGGAAATAGATCCTAGAGACAAAGAGAAGACTGCATTTTCCACAGGAAAGGGTTTGTGGCAATTCAAGGTCATGCCCTTTGGGCTGTGCAATGCCCCAGCTACTTTCAAAAGACTTATGGAGCTAATACTCACTGGATTGAGTGGGGACGCCTGTCTTGTCTATTTGGATGACATAATTATCGTGGGCAGCACATTTGAGGATCATCTTCGAAACCTGGAACGAGTGTTATTGAAAATACGAGGGGCTAATCTCAAATTGAGCCCAAAAAAATGAGCCTTCTTTAGACGGCAAGTTAAATTCTTGGGACATGTTGTCTCGGAAAAGGGAGTGCAGACAGACCCGGATAAAATTGTCGCCGTAAAAGATTGGCCAGTTCCAAAAGACAAGACAGGAGTTAGAGCTTTCTTGGGCTTATGCTCCTACTATCGTCGGTTTGTGAAGGATTTTGCTGATATTGCCAAACCACTGCATAAACTTACGGAAGAGAAGACACGATTCTGCTGGGACGAGGGTTGTGATATTGCATTCCAGGAATTAAAGGAGCGTCTGTGCAACACGCCAATTTTGGGCTACCCTGACACTGGAAATGACTTTGTAGTCGACACAGATGCAAGTAACACGGGGATCGGCGGGGTTTTGTCTCAACAAAAAGGAGATCGAGAATTGGTTATAGCCTACTACAGCAGTCTTATCCAAACCGGAAAGGAATTACTGTGTGACAAGAAGGGAATTACTTGCCGTAGTTAAAACCTTGCAACATTTTAGCAACTACTTGCTTGACGAAGATTCCACTTGCATACAGACCATGCTGCATTGAAATGGCTTTTGCATTTTAAGAATCCAGAAGGACAAGTAGCAAGGTGAATAGAGCTGCTACAGGAGTACGACTTCGTGATTGAACATCGTAAAGGGAAAATGCATGGTAATGCTGAAGCCTTGTCCAGAAGGCCTTCTCCGGATAACTGTATGCACTGTGTCAGACAAGAGACTAAAGAAATTGTTCCTATGCAAATGCTGAAAATGAATATCAGTAACGAGTGGAAGGAAACCTTACAACAGGCTTAGGAAAAGGATGCGCACATTAAGCCGATCCTTGAGTGGTTGAAGGCTGATGCTCCTAGGCCCAACTGGAGCGATGTTGCAGCTATGAGTCCAGTTACAAAGAGCTATTGGGCACAATGGGACAGCTTGACCATACAGGACAGGATATTGTGCCGTAAGTGAAAAAATACCCGAGGGGACAGTTACCACCTGCAAATGATTGTTCCCAAAGGAAAAGTTCCAGAGGCCCTAAAACTATACGACAATGGCTGCTCTGGAGGCCATATGGGGGTGAAAAGGACTTTACTGAAGATCCGCAAGAGATTTTATTGGATCCACTGTAGTGATGATGTGGAGGAATGGTGTCGCAAATGTACCAGTTGCATGGCCGTGAAGGGACCTCAAACTCGTAGTAGAGGTGTGTTAAGGGTGTAAAATGTTGGAGCCCCATGGGAACGAATAGCGTTAGATGTTGCGGGACCGTTTCCTGAAAGTGAAAATAGAACCTCCGAATCCATCCTTCATTAAAAATATATATATCAATAAAAAATACGGTAAAAGATAGATTATCTGACTCCATCGATTCTTTTTAGAATATTTTTTATTGGTGAAAATAGAAACCGGTACTTCATGGTTGTCATGGACTACTTTACTAAATGGCCAGAGGTTTTCGCCATTCCCAACCAAGAAGCTGTAACTGACCAATAAATTAGTCCACGAAGTATTCTGTCGGTTTGGAGTACCCTTAGAGATTCACAGTGATCAACGCAAGAATTTCGAGTCCCAAATATTTCAGGAGACATGCCATGTGATGGGTACCCACAAAACCAGAACCACCTCGTATCATCCACAATCCGACGGGATGGTGGAACGATTTAATCAGACGTTGGAAAGGTACCTGGCAAAAGTCAGAGAGACTCAGCAACGAGACTGGGACAAACACATTCAACCATTTTTGTTGGCATACCGAAGCGCGGTCCATGAAAGTCTGTGATGTCAGTCTTTGCAAACTTTGGAAGAGAACTACGATTGCCCGCAGATTTAAGTACTGGTACCCCGCCTGATAGTCCACGTAGCATGACTGACTATGCGGACGATTTACGTCATAAGATGAATGACGTATGTCATATGACCACATCCGACAGTCCAGCCAACAAATGTCTGAAAGGATAAAGACCCGATACGACCGGAGGCGAACAATCAAGGCTTCGAAGAGGGTTCCTTAGTGTGGTTACATAATCCTGTGCGCAGCAAGGGAAAGTCCCCTAAATTACAGCCAAAATGGGATGGGCCATATCGTGTCGTGACTAGAATCAACGCTGTCACCTACCGAACACAGAAGAGGTCGAGAACTGCACCCAAGATTGTTCATGTGGATCGTTTGGCACGGTACTATATGTGTAATGATGCTCGGGACGAGCATGCCTTAAGAGGAGGGCAGTGTCGCGCCGGCTACGGAGGAGACTAGCACCATGGTGCGGAGAGCGGAGGAACAAAAAAAGAACGATTGAGAAGAAAAAGCAGAATTCAAAAAAAAAAGAACGTTGGAGATGTTTTTCTTTTAATGAGAGATGTAAGGTTTTTGTTGTTAGTGTTGTTAGCATATCTAAAAAGTGTCAGTTCGGTAAACTGTATTCTGAATTTATATCCAGAGCCCCACAGCTCGTAACAATATTAATTACTGTATTGTTAATATATTACGATACGTGGTCGGATTGGATGGATGGAATAAGGTGCCAACACGACCGATATTCCGGGAGGACTTTCTACGGAAACTGGCAGTCGGGTGTTAGACACACGGCTGGCTGGTTGCCGAGAGCAACCAACTACCGTGTTTCCCCGAAAATAAGACATCCGCAGAAAATAAGACCTAGCACAGATTTTGCTGAATTGCGAAATATAAGACCTCCCCCTGAAAGTAAGACCTAGCGAAGTTTTTTTAGTCGTAACGGTCATCGACAGATGGTTGAAAGTGGCCGTTGGCTTTTTCAAAGTACAGCCACTGATTGGTCAGCAGACAATTACGCCACGCGGCATGATTTGCATAAGACTATGGCTTGGGAATCACAGATTTGCATAACGTTACAGCTAGTGATGGCTAATTGGTCGGCCGGGAATCACGCGAAATGACATTTGCATAGTGCTACAGTTCAGTAAGCACTAATTGGTCATCGAGTCTGATGTTGACGCTATAAAAAGGCGACAGTTCGACACACCGGATGTACGTCACTCTCGTCTAAGTTCGACTTAGGAATTTTTTTGTTCAATAACGAATGTGAATCCTTCTTCCTGGAAAAAATAAGACATTCCCTAAAAATAAGACCTAGGCCCTTTTTCAGAGCAAAAATTAATATAAGACACTGTCTTATTTTCGGGGAAACACGGTAGCAGTGTTCGGTGGTTTTATACCATTCGAGTCGACAACACCGGTAACTTCTACTTCCAAAATGAAGATACAGTCGACCCCCTATAATTACGGTCCCAATAATTACGATTCCTATAAAACTGCAAAAAAATTATGATGGTATCCGTAAAAAACCCCCTATAATTACCTCAAACGTCATCGGGCAGCCGAACTACTTTCCCGCTGTCCGTAGCGCCACGCTACGGAGAGATTTCTATCGTCTGGACAGTATTATATAAATTATATATAAATTAGGAACTGTACATATAATTATATATAAATTAGGTACTGTACATATAATTATATATTAATTATATATAATTTATGTACTGTATATATAATTATATATTAAGTTATTGTAACTTTGTTATAATTAAATATATAATTTCCGCCGTCTAGCGTGGCGCCACGCTACGGAGATTTTTACGCTAACTATCGTCTGTCAGTATGTAAATTAGGTACCGTAAGTCTAATACAGTACTGTAATTTTATACATTTCTTGTGAAAGAAACATTTCTTATTCAACGGCGATTAAAATTATTTATATTAATGATGTCTCCGAAGTTCTACGAAGTTTTCACAGAAAAATAAGTTGTTAGAAATCGGCCGCTCTTTGCTGAGCTGTTCCGCGACGAAAACAATGTTGAGCAATGGCGATGTCGAATGGTGACACTCGGTAAGTAATCCTGCAATTTTTTATTTATAGCGTAGTTTATACAAATTATTTCCAAAAAAAATATACGTATTTTGGAAAAGTTGAGTCGGATTAGTCTAGAATCGATTAATTTTATGGAAGAAAACCTTTCAATCAGCCGTAGTCCGTAAACTTGTCACGTGTCGGGCTGTGATTGGAACGACTCGTAAGAAATTGGATTCCTAAAGAATGGAACGTATCTATATCTTATAGGGGGGTCGACTGTAAACGGTGATAAGTTTAGTGGAACCACGAATCGAACAGGCACGGGCTTCGACATTTTTGAAAAAGAATCATTATTAATTAAATACTGTATATGAAATACGAAATTTCGTACTTTTATATATTTACAACAATAATAGACACGTTTTAATTCAAAGGCAGTTAGTTTATCCTCAATTATAAAAAAAAAATCATTTTTAAGATGTAACATATTTTACTTTAAAAATTAATTTTTTCCGAATTTATTCACAAATCTTCGAAGGAATTTACACAAATACGCATGGGAATTTAAAAAAAAGTTCCGTCGTAAACACGTTGACGGTTGGCGTGGAAGTCGTCCAGCGACTGATAATTCGAATCTCGGTCGAATCGTTGGCGATTTCTCGTATGAGTCCTGGAACGCTTGCGGCCCGAGTTCCTCCGCCCTTCGTCATTCGAAGGTGGTTCGTACCAATAATCGAATCGACTACTTTCAATACGTTGCCTTCTTTCTATAGAATTAAAGTCGTCGTGTCGAGAATTCTCTCCGTAACAATAATCTCTGGTGTAATTTCTGCCGTAATTCGTTGCGTTTGTAGCGTAGTTTTTTCCAGCTTGGAAGCGGGGATCGCGCACTCTTCTCTCCGCTGGCCAACCGCCACTTTCGCTCCAAGTTTCGTAGTGTTTTCCGTGGGACTCGTCGTTTTCCGTTCTGCACAAATGGTTTATGTAGGCCACCCTTTCGATGTCGTGACCCCGAGCTGTATTAAACTCGCGGATGGCGTCTTTGGCGTCGTACCGTAATTTGTCGACCATGTATTTACAGATTAGATACCCGGTTCTGTTGACGCCGTGCGTACAATGGACTCCAATCAGACCTTTGTCGTTGTTCCTTAAAAAGTTCTCGACGGCCTCGAAGAACTTCTCGACCACGTTTCGGTCGGGAACAACCCTTCCCTCGCAGAAAATCTTCAGATAGGCCACTCCGCAGTCGGTGATTTCGGCCGAATTATAGTACCTGCGGGTGTTGGTCAGGTCTATTACCATTCCTAGTTTGTCGACGGACGAAATTAGGTTGGACGGCGTAAATCTCATCGTGGCGGGCAACCCTCTACACAGACTTTCCTTCAGAGGCACTTTAAATGCGATAAATCGAGTCTGTCCGATGACGTTACCGAAAGGGGTGTACCTTTCCCATCTGTCCGGTATACCTCTCTTGGTCATGATTCTCGTTACGGCTCCGTATCTATTAATTAAGATATAATTCCTTATTACTTACACGTAAACCACCATCAAGCACGTCGTCGAAACTACGCTCGTCCGAGACTTCGTTAACCAACTATCGGATGAGCTCAGTTTTCCACGCTCAAAAAATCTCCCAAAAGTAGCCAAATTTAAAAAATATTTTTGAATTATATCTTTCTTCCAAATGTTTAAAATATTTAAAATTATAATAATATATACAGATTTTTAAATCTTTAGAATTAATAATAGTACGAGGTGTTTAAAAAATTTCAAAAAAAAAGTTTGATTCGCCCATTTCGATAATTTGTTTCCGTCGAATTATTTATGATACTTTAAATTATTATTAATGTATCGTCGAAAATTAAGTAATTTTAAAATTTAATTAAAAATAAAATGCATTTTACCGCGATTAATATTGTGTTTTTCTTTCGACCATCGACATCTTGGCTTTTAAGGTAACGTCGGCCGCAAACTGCTTCTTTTCAAATGCGATAGTGTTTTTATTTTGTGCTTCTCGCCGTTTCTATACGGAGTGATGGCCGAGATAAAGAATGCAAAGACGTCTCCGAGAAAATAAAATAGAGTCGTTTCGATAATTCAGACAAAAGCATTAATGCGCGAATCTCTTTAAGAACGTTGTGAAAGCAATTTTCGGTACCATATTTCGATATTGATCGGTACGCTATAACCGGGAACCATAGGAATGGACAAAAGAATTTTCAAATTATCATCTCTCGGTGAACGAATTTTTTTCAATGAATTGAAACTTTCATTATTAATTCCACCAACTTTCTTTCGGGTTTCGTAATGGCAAACACCCGAAAATAGCAATTTCGTTTAAGAAAACTCATTTTATTCGGATTTCATTTATTGCCCATATTGAGGGGTATATCTCTAAACAGCGATTTTCGTCTCGCTTGAAAGAACTCGGCAAGTTTTCAAATAAATTCTCGAAGACGGTTTTCGAGGTTTTTTGTTTCGTTTTTGATCAACCAAAAGATTTGATCACACTTACAAATTTCCAGCGGCGAGCGTTATCGGTGGTCACTATTAAAACAATTCCTAGTGGCCTACCGCGTCGCTAAATAGGTATATTCGCCGCCACTGTTTTTTTTAAATACTTTCCTCCTGCGAGAACTAAGAAAAAAATTGTTAGCAAGCCCATCATGGATTCGGGGCCAGACCCATAACGGATGACCCAAGAACGGGGTCCGATATATACGGACGGACTATTCCCGAAAAATTCTTGGCGTTTTTCGACCCGTCCTGATTCGATTTCGGGTACCGCAGAGAAATCGGTTCAAACTTTAACTGCTCGGTCATCTGATCGTACGGTTGGAGAGATACTATCGTTAGCAAAAGAGTTAGGTAAACAGCTAATATCTGTATTAATTTTCTGACTGCAAACATCATCACCAAGAGAGGAATCTCACTAAGCTGGAGATTTCTATTCGCCAAGTATTAGACTGTAGTGAGATTTCTCGCTTGGAGCTAACGATTTTTCATTCTCATATTTTATCTGGTCGATTTTTGGGATTCAATTTGAAAAAATTGTAGACCTATAAATTGCCACCGTCGTCTGTCTGCTCGAATGTCTGTCTGTCTGGCTGTCTTTCCTTAATCTTGAGAATGGTGTTAGATAAATTAATTTCAAAAAACATGTAGAAAGCTTAGGGACAGGAAACCCCGATTAATTATATATGAACGTCCACTCAACCGTAAGTCACGTTATTTCAATTCAAAAATTTTTCCCCGAAAGGAGTTAGATAAATGACCGACAAGGCTTCATTGTTAACAGAAAAGTATAATATATAGAGGCAAGCCCGTACTAATTTGAGGCGGAGCGCGTATATTTTAAATTAAATAAATTCAAAATATGATTAAAAATTGTTTTACATTTATTTAGAACTTTGTATAGCGTTGGACTGGCAAACAAATTTTATTCGGGAATATATATTAATATAACAATTTTAGGCTGGTATATATGTTACTGTGAAAGACCGAAATTAGAGAATGTCGATATTCTCCGGTAAATGTCGACACATACAAAATACGTCGGTGAAAGTCCGAATATTTGGTTATATTATTACTAGCAGGTAGACCCGGCGTTGATCGGGCAAAAGTAACGATCGCGAAAATTATGATTATTACGTTACAGTCACAGAATGCAAGAATTGGGTCCTCCTTGTTTCCGGACTAATTAGAGAATTTTTAGATGGTTCTAAAAATATGTTCGATTTCCCGCAAAAACAAAAAAACTTCATCTGCGTCTTGCACGTCGCTTTCTCTTAACAATTTCATTGTTACGTAACACTTCCATTATTGACACTCTCATTTTTACTTAAAACTTCCATCGTTAATGAAAGTGTTAAGCCTTAATCCTGTCCCTCTCCCAGTGGGGAGGAATTTCGAAAAATCCCTTCTTAGTGAGCATTTTCGTGACGTACCCTTACTGTGTACCAAATTTCAACTTTCAACTCCTAACCGTTTGGGCTCTGCACTTATTATTATTATTATTATCAGCCCGTCTCGATTATATATATAGATACATTAGAACAATCGCCGGTATATGTCGACAAGCACAGATAAGCTTTGGTGGAGGTCGAAACGACAGCCGAGAAGCCGATGTCGACAGAGAGGCGACAGTCTGTCGCCAAATACTTTGTGGATAGCCGGAGGTAGGACACGGTCGTACCTCTTTTTCCGGGCACGGTATGGTGGAAACTTCCCACTTTGTCACTGGATGGCGTGTTTGTTCTTTTGATCCCGTGAGGTGGGGGATCGGTTTGTCGGGTCGAGTGGCGGAGGATGAGAGGGGTCGTCGGTAAGGCGTCGGCGATATCCGAATAAAAGATACCATTAACAGATCAGTTCGTAATCACGTAATAACGTAATTATTAGTTCGTAATTTGTAAAGAAAAGTTACTTTCCATACATGAGATTTCTTCTCAAGAAATATCGCCAAGAGAAGCAGCTGCAACAAATTCGAAAACTGGAGGGCAAGGCTATACACATTGTCATTTCAAAAGGATGTGTTCCACGAATAAATGCAGTTGTGAAAGCGAGGGACTCTCAGTTTAAGTTGTTGCAATAAATAAGATTGTATAACGTTAATCACATAATTTATGTGTATGTTTATTATTGTATTATTTTCTTTAATGATTAAGAATGTACTGTCCATTTCAGGTTCAACAATTTACTTAAATGTCCTGTCACTTAAGCTTTCTCCTATTTTCACATATTAAAATGTTGCATTTTTGTCTTAACGTAATAAACATTCACCATCAGTGCATGCCGAATGTCGACATTTGCCGGTGTAAGTGAGAAATAATGATATTTAGCAAATATTTCGTACATACACGAAACGACAGTGTGAATGCTGACATTCACCGGAGAATGTTGACATTCGCCACATATCGGTCATTCACAGTAGCATATTTACAGAGTATCCTAAAAAATGTATACACCCTTTAACAGCCGATAGCTCAATTGATGTTTTTTTATTTTCAGTTTTAACCTATTAAAATTAATAATGGAAGCCAGACTAAGCTTCGAAGAAAGGAAAGTCATTCTAAAATGCTACTGGAAGTGTGAAAACGCAGTTGAAGAGCAAGGACAGTTTAGGAGGGCGTTTCAAACAGATCCACCAATGCGACTTACCATCATTCGAATTAGAGAAAAGTTTGAAGAGTGGGCATCTCCACACTACCCTCACGATATTAGATTCTACCTTGACGAGATCTTGCCAAACAGGTGAATTGGACGAAGGGGTTTCGTAGAATACCCTCCGTTATTACATTATTATTAAAAATTAAATTTTATAAACAAAGTGAATTACAGTTTACTGTAAGATTGTAAGGGTTTACAAAAGTTTGGGCAATATCGTTAAATCCATATGTCTGGTTTATGCGGATAAAACAAAAACTACCTCTTTAATTTAAAAAGAATTAATTTATCCGCAACCAATTGTCTTCGTAAAAGATCAAACTTTAGCTCACTTAATTTGCGTGTTATCAAACAAGAATTAAAAATAATCCAAAATTCTTGTAAAAGTATGGAAAATTTAGAAAAAAGAAAAAATCTAGAATTTGGTAATTTCTCTGTAGGGAGTTAATGACGAGGTGTTGAAAGGTCGGGTATTATAACAAAGGTAATTCGAGATTCATATCTATGATTATTATTCTCCGTACTCCGGCCGCCAGTTACAGTTTACGTCCGGACAGGTGACAAAACAAGCTACAGTAAAACTAATTGCTTACTAGTAACTATAACTATTCCGACTTAAAAAGTTACGTTTTTTCTCATCGCACGTGTCTGCACCGAGTTTGAGAATTTCCCGAGCTTTTACGACACACCGTAGGAGCCCGAGCCAACACAAATTAAAGAGAAAAATTAAAATCGGTAAACATTTCATACGGAAATGCTGCAAATACATGTAACTCGACGCGTATATTCGAAATCGGATATTTTCATCAAAACAAAACAACAAAAATGAATCATTGGAAATTTATTTCATTACGCGATGCTTAAATCTTATAGATGAAACTATTCACGTATTATTATAAACATTAATACCAGATTAAACGAAACTTTCGGAGAATTAAGACTTAATTTTGCTAGTGGAAAAGTTCATATTTAACGGTGAGATATTTAAATAATCTTAGTATTCAAAAAATCGTATTATTCAATATGGCGTACCGAAAATAATCGAACGGTCTTAGATTAATTCACGGATTAAAATTTCAATTTAAGATTTAAAAAATTTATTTGTAATCGAATCGTATTAAATATTTTTTTGATAAAACGTTTTATAAGTATGGAAAGTGAAATACAGAATTCCGTATTAATTAAAATAAAAAGTGGCAGTGGTCACTTTTCCCCACAAAATGCTTTGTAACGCTTTATGTCGATCTCCGTGTCTAATGTTATTGCAAAATTTTAATATAATGTAAATAAAAAATTACTTATTCTAAATTTACGGCCAATCACTATAAAAAATGCAAACCAAAGTTAGTAGTTTTAATTATTTTATTTACACAATTTCGTACAGAATAAGTAAAATAATAAAAAGTATAAATCCACCATCGGGCGATTCCGTACTTTACT